ACCATATGAAGTAGTTCTATCACTACATCAGGGGTCCTACTACCATCTGAAGTAGTTCTATCACTACATCAGGGGTCCTACTACCATCTGAAGTAGTTCTATCACTACATCAGGGGTCCTACTACCATCTGAAGTAGTTCTATCACTACATCAGGGGTTCTCCTAGCATCTGAAGTAGTTCTATCACTACATCAGGGGTCCTTCTAGCATCTGAAGTAGTTCTATCACTACATCAGGGGTCCTTCTAGCATCTGAAGTAGTTCTATCACTACATCAGGGGTCCTCCTAGCATCTGAATTAGTGGGTGCACCATATCAGTTGTCTGATGATTATTTTTTGCCAGAACGTTCAATATCAGGAGATTACTATCACACAAACATTTACAGACTATATATATATAAATAAACAATTATTAAACCTAAAACTAACAGATCAGTGTCTTAGTGAAAGAATGCTACCTCTTTCTCTGCTTCTTTCAGTTCAGCCTCCTTCTCCTTCACACGTACCACAAAGGACTGTCTCATCTCCTCTTCTTTTCGCTGAAGGGCCTGAGTTAAACAACAATAAACACATAACAGAAAGTAGTAGAAAGATTGTCAGACCAATTTTTAATTTCATGTTTAAAAAGTTGCCGAGTTAGCTTTTTACAGAACTCACCAACATCAGTAGACTAGGATCTTTAAATGTCAATGTTTTACTTTTGTACTTGATGGCAAAGTTTATGAGTTATGTAAGCTAAAGATGAAGATCAACCTAAGGCACCACTGGATTATATTCCATACTTTAAAAACTTAATATATGTAAAGTCACTGCTTGAAGTTTTCTTAACATTTTCACTAACATGATAAGTTAATGAACGACTGAAGCTATAGATGAATTTATACCTGCAAGTGTTCTTGTCGCTTCTGTTCGTAAGTTTCTTGAAAGCTCACTGGCTTATTATCAGCACCAATGTCTGAGAAACCCATCTGTTCTAATCTCATTCTTCGATACAGTTCGTAGTGGTGAGTATGGGTCTGTTCTCGCATGTCTTCCATGTTAATTCGAATAAGCATCTCTCGGAGCTTCACAAAATCACAGTGGTTCTCATTTTCCACTACAGGACAGTAAAACCACAAATGAAATCACAGCCGACTAAGTCTGAAGAAGTTAAGGTATAAAACAACACAATATTTCAACTACAAATCATGAAATAGCTACAGTGTACATTGTTTCACAATGAAGCAAGTAGTGATCATCATAAAGAAACAGCTCCTCGATATTATCAACAACATCTATATGAAAGATCCATAATTTTACTACAAGTTTTTCACTCTAAGTACACAGAATCAATCTGAAAGACAAGCACTGATAGAATCTCTAAAGGGCAAAGATTAATGATTTGGCAGATAGATAAGTCTAATATTAGCTGAATGGGTGTCTCTTTACAGCTTATCTACAAAACTAACAGGAACTTGTCAATTCACAACTGATCAAAACACACATTTGTTTAGTTGAAGAGCTGGTTGATTATTGTTATATGATAACCAATTACTTGACAGCCCCACTACTTAATTACATTTAATTAATTGATTAGTACAGTATTCTTCAAACTACGATACCTACAAGAAAGAAAGGGTTAGCAGTGAGATGCCTTCCCTCTAGGAAAGAAAAGAAAAAGAAAGTTGGCAGTGGGTGCTGCCAGATGGAGCCAACATCGTGTAATTGGCCAATAGTACACAATGTTGGAATGTAAGCTAAATGATGCCTGAGCACCCAATAAGTGAGTGGACAAAATGACCCCAACAAGCAGAAATGTTATGCACTATATTGCAGTATTTTACAATAAAAAATTTCTTGCCATGCCTACCCTTATAGGTACCTGAATAATTTATAGCTATAATGATCATTAGTGACATGAACTTGTGGATTTTCAGTATTGGGTGACTATGTTTTTATTCCTTTATATTTTGGGGTCTTTGATGTTAAAATTATGTGGGTAATATGATTGTCTCGTTAGAAGCCTGGAAAATAGATTTAAAAATAACAGTTCTATTGTCGAGATGGTCTTGACCCCATACTGATCTGTACTCTGTTAGTGTATTAAGGAAAGTTTGACCTTGAGGATTAAAGGTCATGTGATAAAATGATCTACAGCCTTTCTCTATTTTGTTTTTAGTTTTTCCACCCAAATATAAAGTTTAGTCTTCATTTACTTTGTTCTCCTTTTTACGAAAAGAAAATAGCCTTATATAATTGTTTAGCTTTTTGTAACTTCAAGTCTGTTCAGTTTTGTTGATTGGGGAGGGGGGTCTTTTCGTCAGGCAGTTTAAATCGTGTTACACAGAAAAAAGGCTTAGACAGAATCACTGAAGGGTTAAAATATAAAGAGGTTCTAAATTATGTATGTATTGCATGGAGCACATTAACAAAATACTGTTAGAAGGAACATTGTTGAAGCAGTTCTGTAAACAGTTTTAAAATGGAAACCAAGTGATAGAAATTGGATTTTAGAAAGTAAAAGGACACAGAAAAGTAATAAACATAAATTCAAAAAAATGATAAAATAGTAATTTATTATAATACAGATCCCCGTATTATTCTATAGATTTTCTCAAGCAGTTTTAATCTACCTATCATAACATCAATGTTGCTGTTAAATATAATTGACACTGCAGTCACTGATGCACTAAACATTATATCATCATGGTTATCTAGTGCTTTCTGATTGGATCAATCTGTATGTAGGTTGATGTCACTCCGCCCGAAACTTTTTGTTATAGACGTGTGTTTTGAACACTTTTTTTCAAATCTAAAGGCGGCACTATGCATCCCAAAGAAAGAGAAACATCACTGGTTAAAATCACAGGAAATCCTGAAAGGAACCAGTGAAAAACATAGAAACAAGTAGTACGTCATTAATTTATATCCTTTACCTTTACAAGTTGCATAATTTTTGCCAAAGTTGTATCCGTGTTTAATAGTCACGTTATTGTCCTGAAATGAATTGTTTTAATTAGAGAGCTTCAGTAACCACAACTCATACCTTGCACTGTTCCCCAGGGATACTGTCTTGCTCTTATCATCTTGTTGTTTAACTTTGTGAACTCTGTACTTCCAACAACAGCAAAAGGTATGTGGTTCTGAGAAAACAAGAACACTGGATGTCAATCTGTCTCAGTAAAAATGTTTCTGTCTTATTTACAACACATACCAATGTTATCCACGATATTTATGTAATAAAATGTAGCTGGTGTTAGAAGCCACGAACTTGTTTTTGGTCTAAAACAGTGCTTCCCAAACTTCAGTCGTTCGTGTACCAACTTCACGATTTTTGCCACATCTGCGTACCACCGGTACTATTATTTACATTTTACTTAATATTTTTCTTTAAATCGACTAACTTACTTATTTAAATAAATTTTTTATAAAAAGAAAGTTCATAACACTAGGATAAATGAAAAACCAGTATCATTTACCATAATATTTATTTCAAAACATTATTTTTCTCATCTCAAAATTACATTGTTATAACAAAGTGGACCAGATGACGTGCACGCCCTCTGAATAATAGCCAATGTTTAATTGTCGGCTCATAATGTAATAACCGCATTAAAATATATTTTTTCTTAGAAGTTTTTTCTAATACACGTTAAAATAAATATATACCTATTAATATAAAAAAGTCGTCCACGTACCACATAAAGTCATCTTGTGTACCACCAGAGGTACACACACCACACTTTGGGAAACACTGGTCTAGAAGATAACTGACTCATGGTGACTGGTGACAATGTTGCCTTTACAAATGGTGACTGGTGACAATGTTGCCTTTACAAATTTATACATTTGATGACGTTACAGTAAAATGTGTTTGTCTTACTTCAGTTTAAATATCATTAATTTTAGAAGTGGAAATGCGTAAAGATTCGATACTCACATTCATGGATGAATTAGTCTCTGCTACCGTTTCGTCATCCGTTGGAAACTGGTATATTTGTACACCATTACTCACAAGTTCACTCATGATCTGTATCCAATAGATGGGAAACGATATGTTAAACAGCAAATATCAGGAAAACACTTGTATTAATGACAAATCACAACAGATCAAGGTATAACGCTGAGCTAACACCTACACTGTCGGGATCATTCTGGATATCACACTGAGCTAACATCTAAACTGTCGGGACCATGACAGATCTAGGTATAACACTATACTAATTCATGCAAACATTCTGGTAAACTATGAAACAACTTATCATCACACTGAGCTAACATCTAAACTGTCAGGACCATGACAGATCTAGGTATAACACTGTACTAATTCATGCAAACATTCTGGTAAACTATGAAACAACTTATCATCACACTGAGCTAACACCTAACATGACAGATCTAGGTATAACACTATACTAATTCATGCAAACATTCTGGTAAACTATGAAACAACTTATCATCACACTGAGCTAACATCTAAACTGTCAGGACCATGACAGATCTAGGTATAACACTGTACTAATTCATGCAAACATTCTGGTAAACTATGAAACAACTTATCATCACACTGAGCTAACATCTAAACTGTCAGGACCATGACAGATCTAGGTATAACACTGTACTAATTCATGCAAACATTCTGGTAAACTATGAAACAACTTATCATCACACTGAGCTAACATCTAAACTGTCAGGACCATGACAGATCTAGG